AGATGCAGCAAGAATCTAAAATTCGAGAGATGACCTAGAATTCTCATCCAAAGAGGTTGACTTTTATTTTAGCCATTTAGCAAAATCCTACTTGGATTCCCCATGTCCCCCTTTTATGAGGCTTCAGCTGCAGTCTTGCTACTACATACATGATCGCTTCTGGACTAAAATGTAGCTTTACTATGCACCCATTTTGTGAGCTCATATTTTGCTAGTTGTGGTAGGATTGGAGGTGTGAGTGTTTTACGAGGGTAGGAGACATTTTTCCAAAGGCACTGCAGTTTCCGCACTCCGCACCGCGTGGAATTCACAGCCAGCCAGTGACTAACCCACCAAAAACCCCTCCCACTCCTCCGATTCCCTTCTCGAGGAACCGCCGTCAGGCACTACATCACGGGAAGGGCAGATCAGCTTAACGCTCTATGCCAACTGAATCTCGGGATACTCCGTCGCCGCTCCTCTAACCGAAGCTTCTTCAAAATGTTTGCGGCGTAGGTGGCTACCGCACTCCAATTCTCTTGGGACACCAGCAGCCTAGTGACGATGTATCAGGAGTCTCTACCTGCCGGAGGAATCGGTGGAGTTCTTTCCTCTCCTCAACGAACAATGAAAGAACACGTGCTCCACATCTTCCAACTAATGGGTTACAGGTTGGCATGAGAAGTCATCGTCCAACCGGAAACGGAGTTGGTATGCACAGTAGCACCCATGCCTGGTTAACAACTGGATCAAATAATAACCCACATATCCGTGTTTCCTTTGGGACCACTTCATTACGGAAGGAATACGACGAAATGTCAATCTATCATCCCTGTCCAGTGGATATCCATCGCGATTGCCACACGGTCATTGTCACCTGCCTCTCTTCCTTCACGATGACGCTCCAATTTGTAGCTCGCTCGCGTTTGTTGAGCCTGGCTCTTTCTTGTGCCATAAGATCTATTGAGGCCATGTCGGCTAACACACACACACAGCACAGCGTCATACGAAACCGAGCGAAATGCCCGGGCCACCCTGAAGACGGGCCTTCTATACACTGACCTACGACTGTATCCCAAAGGCATCAGCCCCAATGGGGGCTGCTTAAAGTAGCATAGAGTTACTTTGCCTTGGCCCCCGACTTGAAGCAATCGTCCCAAGGCGGAGGCCATGCGAGACGCAAGTGCTCGTCGAAGTGCAGTCTCGCATCGATCTGGATTCCTAAGTATCTTAGAAACTGCTGAGAGGCTATTTTACTATTCCCTACATTGATCGTGATACCCTTTTTCACTTTTATGCTTATCACGAAGACAGCCACTCGCCCAGCATAAAAATGCTGGGCCATCTGCAGCCCCACCGACAGTGACCACCTCCCAATCGCAGCCAGAGACTCATTGGCAACCTGCGTGACCTCTTCAGTATACATTTGCCGACCACTACCACCGCAACATCGTCAGCGCTCTCCAGCAGCTGGAGCTCCAAAACGGAGTGATATATATATATAATATTCCACGGCAGCAGGCCTAGCGGACCACCACCCGAAATACCACATCATTACTCCGGTCTCTGTTTCGTATAGAAAAGACCATTCTTCGAAGTAGCTACTGACTATGTTCATTCTGTAATTCGGAACTCCCAGTTGTTTTTTTACCGCAGCAAGTGTGGAACACAATCTAGCCGTATTAAATACCTTCCTGACGTCGAGGGTAACAATAGCGCAATACTTCGAGTCTTCTCCATCGTTTGCCCTCAATAGAATTGCGTGCGAAATCGTTGACGACACTAATTGCGTCCACTGTGGATCTCATCTTCCTGAAGCCAGACGGGTCAACGCCTGACTCATTATCGGGCAGTCCCTGTGGTCCCTCATGTAGGTTTCAATCCGTTTGCGAAGGATCCGCTCTAACACTTTGCCTGCTGCATCCAGTAAACATATAGGCCGATATGCTGACGGGTCACTAGGTGGCTTATCGCCCTTCGGAAGGCGGGCCAGTTGTTGCTTCCAACGATGGGGGAAATTCCCTTTTCGCATGCACGCATTATATGCCTCTAAGAGTTGATCAGGCCGAATCCTATTAGCGATCTTAATATCAACATTCGGCACCCCATCCAAGTCGGAGTCTTAGCAATCTTCAACCTTATTGCCATTGGCCCGGATCCATAGGCTGCAACACATCCCTCTGGCGAGGATACAAGGTAGCAACTATTTTCTCCAAGAAGACCGGACAAGTTGGAGGTGGCCTGGACAGAGCCTTGAGCCTGACCGTTACCACCTTCTACGGACGCCACCAGGGATCAGCATCCATCTCCTAGCTTAGCTCTCTCCAGCAGCGATCCTTGCTGATCTTAATGGCGTTTGTGAAAGCTGGCGGCCGTGTGCCTCTCTTTGAGAGCGTCATAATGCGGGCGACCTCACCCGCGTTGCTCCAACCTACGCATGCGGAGGTGTTCTCTATCTCGTTAGTCGAAGTTCGCGATCTCGTCAGTCCACTGGAGGACGGCGTTCTATCCCGAGGCTTTTCGTCACTGACGCATCACAAGCGTAAAGACCCGGTTCATTACGGTTACCACCATAATCTGAGTTTCCGGCCAGCAGAACGTTGCCCTCCATTATGGCAGCGAAAAAAACGCGATCGAGCGTCCTGTGGTTCTGTTGCTCTCCTCCTATCCATTACATAACTCAACCCAAACTTCTCTCTGACTTCATACACAATAGCTTGGCAGCCGCTACGTATATACTGATCGCTAACCTCTCAAGCCAGCGCCTCCGCTTTATCTTTCAGATGATCAGTCACTGCAGTCAAAACTGCGCTGTCTTCGGGCATCCCGCGGCTCCCATGTTCAAAAGCACATTTCCCGTGCCTCTCTTATTTGAATCACATTAAAGCCCAGTTTTTCAAGCTCAGGGGCTTCCTTCATCTGTCGCAAAATTTCCACGGACCCCGCCCCTCACTTGGCTTTCACTAACAAGGCATCCCAACGCTTGGGAATAGAGTGCGATGGTTTCTTCCTCCTTGCCTCAACTGTCTTTCGATCTCGAGTGCATCAGTTAGTCTCAGGTGGGGGCCTTTCAAAAGTGAGCGACTCATTCCCGACTTCTTGCCTTTCCCCTAGTACTTTTCGGGGTAATTCGTCTTGTAGAACACCACATTGATGGAACGATCGGACTCCTTATTAGTACACTGGAGATCTGGGGCGGGCAGTCCGCTTTCGGGAACTGCATCAACGACATTAAAACACGTGCGAATTGCATAGGCCGACTTCTTCATCTCTCCGGGCACAGAGAGACGAGGTTTGGCACTCTAGAAGCTCAATGATCTTGTCGATGTTACAAAGTGGTGCTTGTTTCTCTTCACCTCCCATATTACTTGCTACAGCTGGCACATTTTCCCCTTCAGTAACATAAGCTCTTTGGTCGTAAGATGTCGAAGCATGAACTACAGCTTCCAAACTTGCTACAGGCACCGCATCAGCTACAGGTGTACCAGGCCCCTGAACGGTACACTTTGATCCCTCAAGATTATTCATAACACCCGTACGTACGCAAAGAACCCATGTACAGCACCTATAACGCAGGCATCTGGGGGTAACAATGGTCACTGGATGGCAAAGAGGATCACTGCGGGCATATGGCGCTGGGTACATGTGTGTGTTGCTATTTTGTTAGCGATGCTATAAAATCAAATATTAAGTTGTTTATTTACTGGTTTAAATAAGTTTTGTTTTACTCAGGAGCAAAAATTTCTAGTTTTCACATGTTGCTTCGTGGGCACTCATGGCTTGGTTGTATTAATCCTTCAACTACATGTAGTAAAAGGATGTGGAAGGGGATTCTGAAGCGCAAGAAAACATGCATTTTGTACTTCTCCCCCATTCATCACAGTTTTTGAAAAAAGAAATATCACAGCCAGTAGTTTCAGAAATTAAGCAAAGACCATGACCAACTACACACTAATGACCAATGCTCACCTAATCATGCGTTCACCACAGTACAAGCACTCAGACGCAACCAGATCATCAATTTCTGCTTTGACTTGGTCTCGAGCAGACATGCTAGCTGATCCCAAGGACACTGTGTCATCACGTCCAGACATTGTAACTAACTGTCGCTGAAACAATATTATTAGTATTTAGTAACTTTTTAATAAAAACACATGTGTTTAAGGCACATAATGTATATTAGAATAAATGTTCAAAAATAAAAGTACAAAAAATTCAAATCATAATGAAGGAACAACATAATTATTTATTTATACCACTTATTTAAAATAATGACAGTAATTGTTATGATCATTTTAATGGTTTCCCCAATTCATCGTGATATAACGAGTTTTTTAACTTGCCCTGTATTAAGATATACGAAAAAACAGGCACACAATCAGCTTGCAATACGTTACACGCATCCCGTATTACAATTTTGTATAACTCGGAAATAAAGTTGCCTTTTTGTACACGACACTTTGTTGTTATTGTTGTGGTTAAAATGACTGTCAATGGAAGGAGTAATCATACTTGACCTAGTAATCATATTCATATTACCTGTAACAAGTACAAGCGAACACCTGTAACAAATATTGTACCTAAGGTTTTGGGTCCAAGACACCACCTTGAAGAGGATTTTTGTCAAGTTTCAATGATATTTTGAACAAATACTGTGATGGACCTTGTTTAGCTTCTGGACATACTTGTAAACGTAGCTTCACTTCTGTGCACGTCTTCTAGAGTTCAGTGGGGAATATAATTATTCAAATAATCATTTTTCATGTTCTCCCATCAGTAAGTTTTTCGAAAACTGCAAAATTTTGATAAGTTTTTCGGGGTCTTCCTACAATCACAAAATTGAAAATGGAGATTTGTTTAAATGAATTTGTTTTCCATCATATTTGTTCTTTCATTAAGGTCTGGTATATATTTTTGAAAATAGTAGTAGAGTTCGCGCAATGCAGCGAACAATATGTGAAATTTTAAAAAATTAAAAGATTTTCTCAATAGCAGTCCCAATTTTTGTCTTTAAACTTTTGGTAGGGATGGTGCTAAAAGTACTCTATAAAATGACGTAAAAGCCATATTACTCTTCTTTTTTTTCAAATATTACAAAAATGCAATTTTTTTGACTTGTTTCTCCCGTCATTTATATCTACATTAGCAACAATACGTTCACATTAATATATTTATGAGTACATTTGCTTGAAATAATGTAAACATAAAGTTTCTCGAAATAACATTTTCTATTAAAATGAGTTGAAAATTCCGCATTTACAGAAACACTCAAGTCACCATTTTCTCAATAATGGCTCCAAATTTTTTCTTCAAATTTTTCCAATATATAATGTTAATTGTACTGTTTAAAATGACAAAGTTTGTTCTGCCGTATTCATGTTTTTTTTAATTACACAATTGTTTTTGTTTTTTTTTAATATATCTCATGTCTTTAATAAGCAACTTGCAAACACTATTGCTTTTGTGACTGCAACTACTTGATATTTTTTCACATGAAGTTTTATGAAAACTATAGTTTTCTGTAAAAAGGTGTTCAAATTTCGCATTCACAGTAACGCTTAAACACCATTTTCATAAAAACGGCACCAAATTTCTCCATGAAAATTGCCATTTATGACGAGGTATTAATTTTCTTTAACATTCTTAAAGTAATAATTCGGTTCTATTAGAAAGCAGAAAACTTGAGAAAATTTGAAAAAAGTGCCCTGGGAAAGGGGATGGCGCAAGTAAGAATTAAGACTAGAGAAAATATAACATTAAACCCTATGCCATTCCGAAGAATCACTAGTTGCAAAACGTCCGTTTGGTGTATGTGTACAACACTAGCTCCTAAATCAAGCGTAGGATTTGTCTCAAATTGAAGAAACCCTTGTTCATTTGGCCTGAGTCGAATCTCTACGATTTTCAAAAACATTCATAAATTTTGGGGGGTACATTACATGAACCCTTTGGGACACTTTGAATTTTTTTCAAAAATGGCTCCAAACTTAATTAAATTTCTTGTAAGAATAAAGTAAAAGACACTTATAAACGTTTCACAGTATACTCTGAATTTTCGAAAATTGTAAAAATAATTTGTTTCAACAACTTGCTACAACTACAATATTGAAGTAGAGCTTTTTCCTTTAAATGAAATTTGTAATCGATAAATAGTTCTTTCATTAAGGTCAGGCACATTTTTTGAAACCGTCAGTAGTTTTCGCGCAATATTGCGTGAAATATATGCAATTATAAAAAATAACAAAAACAAGTTTTTTTCGAAAAGGGATCCATATTTTTTTGTAGGGATAGTGCTAAACGAACACCGTAAGATGACATAAACGATATTTCGCTCTATTCTTTCTCTCTTCTAAATTTGTTTCTCACGTCGTTAATATTTACATTAGCGGCGATTTTTTTCACACAATTGCATTTACGAGTATATGTTATTTAAATGATGTCTTATAAAGTTTCTCGAAAACTCAAAACTTTTCTGTGAAAAATAGTTTAAATTTCCGCATCTCTAGAAAACGTAAACGCCATTTTCTCAAAAACTGTTCGAAATTTTTTCTATAAACCTTTCGTATGGATAGTGCTAATTGCATTGTTTAAGATGACATAAATATAATTTTGCTGTATTCTTTACTTTTTGAAAAATTAAACAAATGTATTTTTTAAAATATCTCTAATGCAGTTTGTGTGCACATTTCCAGTGGTTTGTAAACATTATTTAACTTGTGAGTGAAAGTGCTACAAATGATTTGAAATGTAGTTAATAGAAAACTCAAAACAATTTCTGCGGAAAAGAGCTTCAAAATTTCGCATATACAGAAACGCTTAAACATTTTTTTAGAAACGCCTCCAAATTTTCAATGAAAATTGCATTTAGAACGAGGTTTTACTCTTCTATAATATTCTTAAAGTAAGTTCTACTATTCGGAAACCGAAAAATTGAAATGTGAAAACTAGTTGTGCTACAGAATGACACTTTCTCTTATTAGGTTTCGATTTTCTTCTGTGCTAGCTCTTTGACTTGCCACTGTCGGCTGTCATCTATCGCCGCCCAAAGTACATTTTTTTTAATCTCAATTTTTTTGTTTACTAGTAACAGAACCGAAATATTACTTTAAGAATATTAAAGAGTAAAACCTCATCTTAAATTGTAGTTTTTTTGACACATTTGAAGCCGTTTTTAAGAAAATGGCGTTTAAGCTTTACTGTAAATTCAAAAGTTGAAGTTCCCGGATTTTTTCCGTTTTTGAAACATTTCATTGGTAGTCATTTGAAGCATTTCCACACAAATGCAATAGTGTTTACAAATCGATGGACATGTGCATATTATCGGCGTGAGAATTACAAAAAATATTCTTTACAGTAATTTTTGAAAAAACAAAAGTATACAACAAAATTATTTTTGTCATATTTAACTGTGCAATTGGCACAAGTTTCGAGTTTATTTTCAAAGAAAATTTTGGTGTTTTCGAGAAAGATTATAAGACATTATTTGAAGCCCATGCACTTTAAAATGAAATAATGGGATCAAATCGCCGCTAATATATTTATGACGTGAAAGACAAAAATCATTTTTGTAATTCTTGAAAAAAAATTGCAAATTGGCGTTTATGTCAAATCGTAGAGAACAATTAGCCCCATCCACTTGAAAATTTTGAAGAAACAATTTGGAGACGTTTTTGAGGAAAATTGTTCATGACATTTAAAGATCTAATTTTAAAGAAATATTCATTAATAAACTCGTGTTGGTTCAACCTACTTTCTCGCAATGTTTGTATCGGCTACGCAATACAGGAATCTGCAAGAATCCTCAATTACCAAAACGTTTTTATCAAACGTTGAAGTTTCATGTAAATTAAAATATCACTTTTTAAATTCGCGAGGCATCTAGTTCGCCCAGATCGATCAGGGAATATCAATTTTGGACAAAATTGTCTGAACGGTTTAGGCGCTAGCGTTGTGCACAGACATTTCACCGTCAATGTGGATTCTGACTATACAAGTGTTAGAGAACGTAATATACTGTATACAGGAACAAGATACCAGGACAGCACCTTACAAATTTTTCTGGCGAAATATGGCCGATTTCCGCAGCAGCATTACAATACTTTCTCGTTACTGCGAAAGTATGTAGTAAAACGAGAAAGGACAACCCAACTTCCAAACGGTTGCTTGTAGATGGTTTGAGAAATGTTTAAGTGTTTAATTTTTGAAAAATCAAAAGTTTCAACGAATATCAAACCTGCGCAACTGTTTCAATCGAACAAAGGATATGAAGTGATTTTTGAGAAAATTTCGCAAATGTTGGGGTTATCATATGTACCCCGTAAAATTAAAATACCGTTTCTAATTCGAGAGGTCGCATCTAGTCAGGTTGATCAGGGGGCATCAATAAGGGTGAAAATCCCGTGTACAGAGACAGCAGGAGCGCCATTCTCAGCCGCGAGCTTTTGCCAACCGGCTACAGCAAATGGCTGAATGGAACGCGCGCGAAACGTACTGGCGCTTTGCTTACCTGCAGGTCGCCGAGGCGCGCGCGCTCCGCGGCGCCGAGCAGCGGCGTGAGCTCGGCCAGCAGGCAGTCGGAGTGCAGGCGGTGGCCGCACGGGAACAGGTAGAAGGCGCGCAGCAGCAGCGCCTGCCCGCACGCCTCGCACGCGTCCTGCACGCCCACGTGCGCGCACCTGCGCACGCGCCCACGCCCACGCCCGCTCAGGCGCACGTCGCACAGCGCGGCGTACAGCAATCAGCGGGTGGAGTTTAGTTTTTGCGCAACGTTTGGATCGAAATGGAAGAAGCAGAACTGAGGGGAAAGTGTGTGCTGAATTGCCATTATGCCACAGTCTCCTGATTCACATTTTTTTGACTAGAGCTGCCCATTACCTCTCATTTATTAATAATTATTCTATTAAATTAATATAATTAATATCGTACTAGTAATTATATTTATAGTTCAATGACACCTAAATATCACGTGATTTTATAGATCAATGACACGTGGCAATATGCAGTTAGCAATATGTAGCGGCCGCTATAATTTAATTGGGAACAAATTCGATTTAGCGTGACCGAGTCATCGACTAGCTTGCGACAAAAGTCGCCAGCTACATCCGGCAGATTAGCGAGCTCCGCTGTAACTTGGAGTCGGAGTTGGCGCATGCGTAAAGGATCAAAAGTGCTGTTGATTGCTGTACGCTACCCTGTGCAAAAAGGCCATCATTCTAAATATTTCTAATGGCGCACTTTATTTTCACCGACCGATAAGAAAGTGTTAATGCCATACACAAGTGAGCCAATTGCAAACAAACGAATAAAGGGAAGAGAGACGGGTAACAACCGTCAGTCATGCTGCCAGAGGTTGCCAAGTCGTATCTGTCACTTCTGATGGACCTGAAACGTCCCACCTCACTATCTCCTCTGTGACTGTCCACAGCGGGAGGTCGTCCTGGCAAACTGACGAGCAGCAGATGTGCAATGAGAAAATGAAAACTATAGCGTAAGGTAGATTCCCATCACATCATGTTAAACAACTGAAAAAATATTACTCTCTTTTGCTCCTTCCTAAACGCAGACTCACGCATAAAACACAGAACAGAATTATTTGAATACAACTATTATACAAATGTGTTTTCTTTCAATTACATCTTCGTACAACATAAACTTCCTACATTTTTTTCCAAAAATTAAGCATTTGAATTTAAAATAAAATGAAAAATCATTTGGGTGTATGATAAGATATTAAATTAGATTTCAGTATGTCGCAGGTTGAGAAATGTACAATTCAGCTGTAAAGGGTTCTATAAGTCACAAAACAAACAGCAAATATCGATATTCGCCGTATCAAGTAGTTATCAAGAAGGGAGAAAATGGGCAATCAATATATAAAGGATCACATAGTTCTGTTGCAGTTCAGTGTAATAATTTTGGTTACTCCAGAGCTACTCCAAAGGATTATGTTTGAAACTGCAAATTTCTGTTTTTGTTAACAAGACAACATTCCTAAAGTGGCAACGCCAGTTCCCATAATATGGGATATGCACCATTCCGTAAATTACAATCAAATACATATTCTTCTTAAGTATTCCTCCAGCAGATAAAATCCATAGCCAGGGAAACTTACTCCAACTTATGTTTTGTTACAAATTAGGCAAAATAATTTTGACTCAATAGTTTTTCATGTTTATCAATAGTTTTAACCGTTAAAATGATTGTTGATAAGAAATCATTAGAATTATGATATTCAAATTCATGGATAATTTTTGTTCAAAATGCAAACTTACAATGTTTTTTTTTTAAATCTTAAACATCATGTAAAATATTTCCTGTACACACATTTACATTAATTGGAATGAGCCCTGAGTGTTGCTAGTTATCTCTGCTTTCTTTTCCTTTTTCTCTGTTTTGCAGGATTCCAAACCACAAGCACACGTTAAAAACTAGTGTGTAATGTACACGAGTTTGAACGAAGAAGTAAAAGTTACATCATATCTAGTTTTCATAGAGGGTATTATAATGTGCAATGAACATACCTATTACGGAAATTCTGTATTTGGTCCCGAATTTCTTCTGCTGACTTTGTTGCTTCTTCCATTTCTTCTTTCAAGTCTTGTATATGCTGGTTGTATTCCTAGATTCACATAAAAGGAAATTTAATTTGAGTAGAGGCTCACTCATGTCTACAGAGCTATTAATTAGCAAATACTTTTATTTTGTAACGGTAAATTATAAAACAGGGGGTAAGGATTAACTACACCACGGTTTAAAACCGTATAAACTCGAACCTTGTTCCCCAACACAAAATTTATTAGGGAGATTAACCGCTTCGCACTCAAGGGGCCAAGGCGGTGGTGGAACCATTAATGAGAAGACTGGTGCAAGAGTGTAAAGTACAATGAATACAAGGTGAGAAAAGGGAGGAAAAAAAGAGCGCGCGCGGTTCGTGACCCTTTCGCTCCGGTGTTCGCCTAGTGTTGATTGGAGAAACCACGGAAAACTATCGATCAGAGAAGTCGGCCGCTAGAATTCTCCTCGAGACAGCTACTGAATTCGACCTTGTTACTAACTAGTGTCGAAAATCCTGTCACCTTTGGGACTCGAACCCTAGGACCCCCTTCCCATCAGAGGCACTGCTGTGACGTCAACTGATGCTCTGGGCCATCTAAGTCGGTTAGAGTCGAATCGAGCCCCACTCACAATTGTCCGGGCGAAATTCCTACCCGATTTCCTGTGGTCCTGCAATGACAAACCCAAGGCCTAGCACATCGCAGCAAATATACTTTTTTTTTTCTTTTGACGAGCTTCGTCCAAAAGAGGTTGATGACTGACCTGCAAGGAGCTGCAGATGGCGTCGCGGAAGTGGTCGATGGTGGTGAAGTCCGGGAAGAAGGGCAGCACGTCCTCGATCTTGAGCAGCTCGCTCTCCTGCAGGAAGCGCATGGCCTGGCCCACGTCCTCCTGCTCGCCCACCACGTGCTTCGCTGCGCACACCAAACACCACACATGCTACGTCTTATTCGCTACTTCCAAGCAGACACATTAACACTGACATCGAAAACATCTCAATATCGGCAAGAAACTTTACTCCCTTGAAGTTTCCGAGAAACTACATCAAGATATGGCCTTACGATAACTGCCCTCCCAATCAAAATGTCAGTCAACAGTAAGGCGGTAACTATGCAAATATCACAGTCTGAGCAGTCTCTATGGTCTATTTGCAATGAATTTTCGACAGCTTCATCATCCACATAGAAATTCAAAACGAGAATTGAAACATAACGTACAAATAGTAACTTCGAACTTGTTACAACGCGTAACGACGATTACAGTAATAATAATGTTGAAATTAGTTGGCGCGATTAGCGGTACAATTTCGAATGAATTCGGAATATACGTTAAAGGTATACACAACTTTAAATTAAACATAAAATAAATTCCATTATATACGCCGGATTGCGATGGGATACGAGAGAACTATCGATTCGGGGGGCCCTTCGACCGGACTTCCGAGAGCTCATGTTGTAAGATACACCATGCGCCAGCCTCTGCCTGCGACTTGGCCCTCGCCGGAGTGTGCAGAGGCGTAGCAAAGTTCTCGGGGAACCCCGGTGCAGAGGGATCAAATATGCCACTATTGCCATTGCAAACATTATTGAGGGTCAGCAGGAGTTAATATACGAGATGGGACACGCTGAGACGTTCCTCATAACGATTTCGATTGTTTTCATATCACTTAAAAGCATGCGACTAAAACTCTACCAATTTCTTTGTAGCTACCACCTCATAAATTATACACTTTCCCTGCAACATCAAAGCAGATGTTTAGATTGGTAATTGCATTCAAAACAAGAAACTATGGGAATGAGATTATCCTCCCTTCCCTCCCTTGAGAAACCTCCACGCTCACAATTTCTTTTGTACGTTGCATATCAATACAATTTTTGTTCAATTTTCGATCGAGCAATCTGATCACTAGCATTACGCCGACCGCGGCCAATCAACTCCTACAAGGGCATCTCGAACGAAACCACCTGTCGCGAGATAAACATGGTTTTTAAGCCCCCCCCCCTCATCCAATTGTTCTCGTCAAGGACGAAAGTGATTTCTTTTAACTCTGGAAGTTCGTATTGAGTACACTTCGATCTTGAATACAAATATTAACATCAATTCACGTCACCACATCATGTGACACACAGCTTTGTCGGGGAAAATAAATTAAAAATAGTTTAGTATTTGCATATGTAGTAGTTTTCGCGTACCACTCGATTCCGAAAGGGAATACTTGAAACTAGATGCTTCCAAATGGGCGAAATATTCATTCTACGAGAACATTGCTTATTCAGAACACAAGAACCATAAAACGACGAAAATATTACATAACTTAAGAACCATAAAACGACGAAAATATTACATTACCTAAGAACCATAAAACGATCATTAAAATACATAGTGAACAATAATCGGCAAATACACACGTATCCAATGAACCTGGTACTTTCTTAATATTGTGATATGATACCGTGTGATTTTTAGTAGATTTTTTATTATATAGATATATTTTTCGGGAAATCCAATAATCAATATCATTTCCGTTCCCAATTAATACTGATAATTAAATTTCTGAAGCAGAAATCTAAGACTTCAAAGTCTAGAAAGCGATGCGAGTATTTTTCATCCTCCTTTTCAGAAAATAAAACGAAAGTTCAGTTGCTTCAAATGTATTATTTTCTTTACTTATATTCACAGAAAATAACTTGGATTGCATTGCCTACGTAAGTCGGGGAATCCAATGTGGAGTTATTGTTTGCGAACTGAAACCAGGTGCTTCAACAGCACATATTTTCTCGCATTGTTTCTAAATTTGCAATTATAGAAAATTTAGAGAACTCAACGAAAATGAGATCCATGCCATTCTTTTAAGCGTCCTTACTTCTAGCTGGGGGGGATTGAAGCGGTTTTTGAGAAAATGTTTATAAATTGCATTTATTTCAAGACCAAATTACGCAAAAACCAGAAGTTTTCTCAAAAAAAAAAAAAAAACTGTACATGATCATTTTTAAAAAGCTGATTTTTTCGAACAAACTTTGCCTAAGGCAAAACACTATCTTCAATTTTGTAGTTTTCAAACGTTAACTTTTTACAATTTTCGAAAGTACTCTACATATTTACAATAGTACATACACAATACATAGTTACAATTTAGTACAATACATATTTTCGGCCAACTCTATGTATTTAGGGCATATTTTTACTGTCCTTTGATAAATACCAAAAGAAAATTTAAAGAAAAAATTGTTTAAAAATTAAAAATTCGTGTAAAAATTTGTAAGGTCAAGAACATTTTGAAAAATTGTACTGACCTTATTTCAAGATCTATCTTTAAGAAATACATTTCATTAAGGATCAAATTTGTATCTTCAATACTATAGCTGTAGGAAACGCCTAAAAATTGTAAAATGCCCTTTTGCAATTTTCAAAATCTGAGAGTTTCACGAAAATGAGACCTGCTTTTAAGCGGGTATTCCCTTAAGCGTCTTTTAAGCTATCCGAGGACAAAGTTTAATAAAAAATTTGGAGCTATAATTTTAGAAAAGATTGAAAATGTTTTTGAGGCTCCATGTAAGTATCCTAAAAAATCCAGTTGAAACTCCCAAAGCCGTTCAGACCGATCGGGGAATATCAGTTTTGGAGAAAATCGGCTAAAGGTTTTCGCGCTTGGCGACGGACGGACCTATTATCGTCATTCGATTTTTCTGTATTAAAGTCCCACAAAACATGGACTCTGGCTAAACCACGTGTTAGAGGAAGTAATTTACTATCTATAGCAAGGGGATTTATCCACTTTTTCGTTACCAAAGCCCGGCAAAAAGAGTTGTCGAAAATTTGCCGTTTTCCGGCGCACAATTACATAATTTTCTCAATAAAAATAGAGACTCAGGTCCTACTTCATCTTCATCTTTAATCATCAGCATCTCCATCACTTCATCAAGCGACATTTGTTCTCATTTTCTCATTCGGTGACTGAAGGTAAAAACGAAATCACCATTGATGTTCATTAAATCAATATTGAAGATATTGTGAACAATGACTAGTAAAATCCTACGATACTGGAAAATTACGGCCAAAAATCTATCACGAAAGAGAAAAAGGAATCCATCGTCGAGGTGGATCATGATGTAAAATTACTATCACAGTCTGTCATTGATTAAATCGAGGAAATAAATTTCAGAGAAAAACTGCGACCTCCATGTGATAACATGTGCTCTCACGCTCAAAAGAAATGAAATTGCAGTGACTCTAGCACACATAATTTGAGAGATCTAAATAAAGCACTAAACCATCTAATTACAGCATTGAAATTAACATGGCAAGAATACGAGATAACACATTCCTCAAATCCGCTCTAGACGTGAATGGTAATTATTAAAACTTTGCTTTCCAAGAAATCAGAGTAAATGATAGAACACGTCTTAATTTGTGCTTCTTGTTTGACTATTCAAATTAGCATACGATACTGAACATTGAGACTGTATAAAAGAACTGGATGTTTGAAATATAAATAAAGACAGCAGCAATTGGGTGGCTGTACAGTAAAAGGCAGTCTTCCTGACACCCCCTTCTGGACCACTCACACGTTTACATTTCATATCTTTATTTTGAATCTTTGGTGGGAACAAAGAAAGAAGAGTCCACGTTTGGGGCGCTCTGCCGCATATAATTATCGCGTGTTAGCGGGTGAAGTGTCCGAATCGGAAGTATCGTAGACTTCACAATTCTAAGCACAACCCCCAACAGCGGCGGGTTTTCTACACCATCTAAATGGCGATGGGATCCGAGGTGGGAGGAGTGGGAGGGGAGGGGAGGGGAGAGGAGAGGGCGATTCGGAGGAATGCGGAGCGGGCGGAGGCTTCTCGCGGGCTCAGGCACGCGCGCGGCCAACGCCCAGCCCCCGCCGCGCCCCGCGAAAGCCTTCCAGGCGAACCAAAGGCCAAACCCAGCAGGGGTGTGCTCACTCTCATACATACATTGGCCGGAGAAGAATGACAAAACTTGATTCATAGCCAAGACAAATAGGATAGGAAGACGTATGCGGGGGAAAATGGCTCTGCTTCAATGAAATACAAAAAAGGGTGAGTGAATGGGTATTGAGTGTTTCCAGGCGCGTTATCTACCGAGATCATTATCTTTATAAGCCATAAGTGGAGTGCGTGTTATGTTTCGGGAGGCAGCGGCGTTTCACTTCCACGGGAACGTCAGACCCCGCGCCTACCATTCACTCGGCTTGTGGACTTTCCCTATCTCCCCAGCCGCGACAAGGTCTCGGTTCCTGAAATTGTGGTAATGTAATTAGTAAGTGTGTAAGTAAGGGGTGAGGTTCGGAGAAGGAAGAAAAGATGGTGCGCGGTCCGTGGCTCGTTTGTTAGGGTAACGCTCCATGATTCACCTAAATACAAAAGATGGTCAAGGTGATATACACTTCTTATTGGAACCACAACGCACATGGCTGGAAACGTTAAGAGATCAGACGGAAGATTGAGACGATGATTTGCAAGAAAAATGCAAAAAGAATAAGCACAGAACGGAGATATTATCTCCTGAATTTCACCAGAAGCTGCGTGTTTAATTATTGGGAAAGCCTTCTTTAATGACTGTGACTCATTAGGAAACGTCTTAAAAGTCGATTGAACCATGCAATTACTATAGAGTATACGGTGATAATGACTATGTAACACATTTTTCGTTTCTTGGTAATCAATATCATTTTCTAATTGGTTATATCAAAAAACTTACTCCCCTGCAAAGTCTTTGCTTTTGTGTTCAGGAGAATGAAAAGATGAAATTTGCATAGCATTAAGAAAACGTGTAAATTTTCGAGTTTATCTTTAAAGAAAAAAAGGGAACACATTTCAAATCAATAATGTATTTTAAATAAAATTTTACCAATTGATAAAGAACCTCGAAATGTGTAGTTTTGTGATAT